TTTTTGGGGGGCCCCAAACCCCCCCCCCCAAAAAAAAAAAAAAAAAAAAAAAAAAAAACCCTAGTTCAGAATAATTGTGTTGTTTGAAATATCAGAGCAATCAGTATGATTCGTAACCTCTCACAGCTTCCACTGTTCACACGTGTTTATACAAGATTTCAAGTTGCGTCACCAGACAGCCAAATTAATTCGCAAACAATTAACATGTATCAAGCACAGCAGGAACTCTACAAAGGGTAGGAGCGCAGTTAAAACCTAAAGGGCCTCGGTCAATCTATTCCTGGGGAATTCAAAAGTGAATGACATTTTTGTGATACACTTTTAGGCCAGCCTGTCTTTAAAATCTGTACCTTAATGTATCCTGTTTTACCGTAATAACCAAAATCAGGGAAAGAAAAATAGCCAATAGGTTACAAAAATAGAACACAGTTGTTGTTACAAATGTATAGGATAATATACCAAATAAAAAGATTATTGACTTTTGAATTTTGCCATTACCTCTTGAAACTTATGTATCAGCTGGTGCCAATGAACATGTGAAAGGTTTTCACAACCACTCAGAATGCTTAAATTCATTTAATTTTTGCAAAAAAGTCTCTTTTATATGTCTATATCTACAAAATAAACTTCAGCAATCTAATTTTTCTATTAAGTTATATAAATATATCAAATGCGAGAGCTGTCATTTTGAACTAAACCAATCTGGCTATATCTCTTAGAGCAGCTTTAGAAACACAGACCCTCTCACAAAAAAAAAAAAAAAATCCTCTCTTGTTGCAGAAGATTGCTTATAGATCAAGTTTTCTCTAAAGATAAAAAACTAAAGGGGAAATACTTTGTCCATCGCACATCAGACGACATGAAATGTGACAAGAACATGGGAACATCTGATTGGATGATTGAGAACACCCACTTTTTATTAGTTACGTGGGGCATCCCTTACCATCTGCAGGCAAAAACTCCATAACAACTCTTCAAGCAAGTGGCGGGGGAGGGGAGGATGGGGGGATTCAAAAGAGGTTACAATTTTATCACATTTTTTGCCAAGTTTGAAAAAAATAAGTTTTGACAAAAAAAGCTGATGAATGAATCCTACTTTTTTAAAATTAGCAAAATAAGTTTAAGAAAAATAGCCAGACTGAGCTCAAGCAGATGGGACATTTTGGATCAAATTTTCATCAGATTTTTCCAACAAAGTGATCTGTTAGGTGATATGCCATAAATATGACGACATATGACAGGTTCTTTTTTTTTTCAATGAACTCTCAGTTTGATAAGCCAATTCCAACAGCTCTTTTGAAAGACTCTACTCTCAGTAAACACTGAAGCATTTAACAAAATACTTGAGCAAATCTCAGAGTTTAAGGTCCATGGTTTCTGTTCCTTTTTTTTTTTTTTTCTTCAAAAGAAGCAGACGACCTGCCAAAATACAACTGACAAGAGACATGACATGAACACGAGGCCTAATGGGGTGGTGCGCAGATCGAGTGAGAACCCCCAGTTTGACGTTTAGAAATTCCCATACAACTTCGAGGGGAAAAAAATTCCTTACGTCTGCTCAAAAATACAAGGTTTACATTCACAATACCAATGGTAACAGCTGTGCAGTAAACCAAATGAATTGGACGGTTAATGGGACCAAATGAGCCACTAATTAAAGGTACTGGGGATTATGTAAAACAACTACAACCCAGTTCCGGCCTTTAACTAAGTTTTCTATTTCAATTTGAGGTAACAGTGGGAAAAAGTTTACCTTTCCAATTCAATGATGCTAATTTAATTGTTTGAATGGACAGTTAACAGATTTGTTTCATCTTAAATTCTCCCTTTTTTTTCCTCAATTTAAATTGTCAATGGCTCTTTGCCCAAAGGCTAAGCCCTGTCACCGTCTGCTGAACGTAACTTAGTGATGGAACCACTACCTGTTTTAGACAAATAAATTTGTACCTAGAAATGAGAAGCAGTGAATCTTGCCCTTTACACCTGCCAGAACCAAAATATTCTCATTTAAACTGTTAAATTTTAATTCACAAAATGTATCATACTGGTCTTTATAACGGTGCAAAACTTTAACACAAAAGGGATCATTAAAAAACCTGTTTTGAACTTACAGCAACATGTGTCAAAAGAATCTGAATTGGGTTTTATGTAACACATGGCATCTAAAAAAAATTAAGGAGGGTGGGGGGTTCTTTCTGGGCCTTTAATTTCAGGAATTTACACAAAAGATCACCTGAGCATCACGTTGATGAATAATTGTGACAAACGCATTACATACATACATGTTATAAACAAATTCCATTTTTAGCACTGATATTCAAAAAGTTTCATTTACTTTTTTGTGTGGCGAAGGTGGCCATGGGCATCTGAACTAATGTATTAAAATAAGCTGAGCAAAAGTTATCTTAAACCATTTTTGAGGTTTTCAGGTCAACAAGCTGAGTCTTGTAATAATGAAAAACTGCAGGAGTTTGTATCAAATCTGCGAAAAAATTGTTTTTCTTCCCAAAGCACTACAAGCATTTCTCCTATATATGTTACTAGCTCTCAGATAACATGCTGTTCAATTATACATATATAGAACTATGAATGAAAATGTCCTTTTCAATAAAATTCTGCCTTATCAGACTTTTTTGTTTTCTTTTGAGAGAGAGAGAGAGAGAGAGAGAGAGAGAGAGGGATGGGGGGAGGGGGAGGGAGGGCATCTGTCTAAAACATCACCTCCTAAAGAAAGCCAGTCCCAAGCCAGTAAAAGCTGTTATATCAGAGGCTTGAAACAAATTATTAACTGTAGAGAAAATGAAAAAGATAACACAGTGAAGTGCGAGAATGTGAGGGGGCAATTTAAAACCCTAGTTAAAATTTGTCATTCACAATAAAAAGCCACCAGGTTGCTGACTAGGTAAGCTAATTCACTTAAAACTCTATTAAGGTTTAAATTGTGTTCGAGAAATCTTTCAAAGCAGGCAAGACCCCATAGGGAAATGATTTTTTTTTAAAGAAAAGAAAGCAAAATTAATGCACTACGCTACCCAGTGTTTCAAAGTTAGTTTTGGGAGATCTAACTTTTTCAGGGTGAAGAAGTCACATTAAGGGCTCTTGTTTCCAATATACCCTTTTATCAGCTGTTTTCTACTCAACGCCAGTAGAAGGTGTGTTGATCTCTGTATGTGATTGCATTCAGCAAAAGTTCTCATGGAATTGGATCGATCTACACAGAATAATAGTTTCATTGGAAATGAGCCCGAAGAGCCAGGTGACTTAAGTTCCTAAGAGTCTATGTTATGACGTAAAAAAAAAATAATATCAAGTATCACATTTTTGTGACATTTTTAACATACCATCTTTGATTAAACAATTTAGTTCTAAATGTTTGGCCGGACATTTAGACCGCCATAGGCTTTCTGACATTTATCGACAGCACGCTCTTTTATTTGAGGTCTTTATTGGGAAAGATATTTTGACCTGAAAATATGACTATGGGAATTTTTTAGACACATGCAGTGTACCTTTAAACCTGATTCAAACTAGCATAACTGAGATTTCCCATACAAAAACATCAACGTCTAAAACTCCCTCTGCGTAAATGCCTTTCTTCAGCCATTCTCTTTTGCAGCTGTAGAAGAAAAATTGAAGAAGTGATTAGATGAGAGAGCTCACACACCTCCCACTATCCAGAAAGTAAAATTACAGAAGAAAAACATCTTTATTTACAGTTTCCATATTACTATGTCATGTAAAGGTGTCTGGGCAGATCGCAGCTGGTATCTTCTGTATCATAATCTGCTTCACATGTTGGGCATCAGGTGGGTGGAACACACTATTGTAAGTGGTACTTGTCCTCTGTGTGTGTGTGTGTGTGTGTGTGTGTGTGTGTGTGTGTGTGTGCATACACATGTGCATATGTGTGTGTGCATGTTAGTGTATATGTATCCATTTGTGCATGTGTAATACATGTACATAGTAGAGAGCAATCTTTAAGTAGGTAATAACATAGACAAAACCTCTTCTTCACACTTTCAAATTGAAGAACCACTAGTTATGACTTTGGCATATAAAAATTGCCATGAAAGTATCCTGAATCATTCACAGTGACCCAGGAGTGACCAATGGCTGCATGATTGTTCTTTGGGGTGCACATTATACACTTTAACAATCTTACAGGCAAAACTAGATTCATTCATAAATTTGTTTTTTTCTTCTGACTACCACATAACCACCAAACAAGCAAAACCAGAGTCATTCATTAAAAGGTGTCTCCTGTGGATACCATCTTACAATCCCACAAGCAAAACCAGGAAGTGATTCACAAAGCTTTGTTTTCCTGGGTAAAAAAAAATCTACAGGCAAAACCAGGGACTTATTCATAGACTGTTGTTCCTCAGGGTTCAAATCTACAATCCTACAGGCAATTTAAAACTACATATTCTGTTCTTTGGCAGCACCTGTTGCTTTTAGCTGTCTTCAGAAGGTAGAACTCAAAACTCTTAATTAAAAGGTAATAGGATGTTTAATTGAAAGAATGATTGTGTGACTTCTTTTAAACTTTGGACTGTGAAGGTAAGTGTGTGTGTGTGTTTTTTTTTTGTGTGTGTGTGAGAGAGAGAGAGAGAGAGAGAGAGAGAGAGTCTGTCTTAAAAATGGAGAGGGGGATTAAAAGACACACAGAGGTATAGTGATAGGGGGAAAATAGGTACTGTACATTTGTGAATGGCAAAAATGAATAAATGTGTCAGATATGCACATGCACAAAACATGAAAACAGGAGCACCAAGACTTTGAAGAAATCAAATGTCAATCCTGACAACACCACGACATGTCTGTGAGACGGAGTTGACCCCTGGATTTTTGTCCAATTACAAAATCTCCCATCACGCTATATTTCCCTATTAACCAAGACATTAGTATAGCTATTTGATACTTATTTCCTCTCTTTCTATTTAAAACAATCTATTCTCAATTGAATTAAAGTTTAAAATGAATAGCCCTTTGTTTGTTTTGTACAACTGCCTATACACATTGTCAGTTTCTATTTGAATTTCTAATTTGTATACTTTAACCTCACTTATTGTTTTTGTTTTTTTCTTTCTTAATGTCTACGCTACAGTGAACTGATTTGTTTTCATTTGTTTTGCTTTTGACCCTAATACAACGCAGGAGCACTGACAATAAAAAAATGATTATTTTCTCAATGATTTAAAAGAAACTGTCACTTTAAATTTTTTTCAGTTTTCCTGTTTGCTTTTCACTCTCCACTAACCCCAAAACATACAAAATCTTAGGTAAAAAATAAAATATACAATTATGTCTATAAAACATAATTTTTTTCAACTTATTCAAGGGGTTTTATTGCCCAAGAAAAGAAACTGTCATCTGAGTCCACTGCCTCAACTAATTTAGCATACTTCTGGAATAACTTCAATTTCTGTTCCACTATTTTCCTATTTTGGGATATTCTTAATTTTTTCTTCTTCTTCCTTTTCACATGTCAAATAACATCAAATATATAAAAACTGACTCATCACCAAATCAGAAACAAAATTGACCTAAAATAAATATTTACCATTCACTTAAACCTAAGTAAATCACCCCTAAGCATTCTGGGAGAATTTTCCCTCCACAATAACCAATCCAACAAAAATACACACCCCTCCTTAGACATGTCCATATTGGACAAAAGGTTGACCTCAGCTGACCTCTTGGACAAGGTCAGTGACAGGACAAGTACAGTCTGGGTATTGTCCCCTTAATCCCTCTGTCATCTCCACTCACACGCTACTCTTTATTGTGGACATTTTAAGGATAATAGACACACTTGGTGAATAAATGCCAAAACCACTAGAATATCTTATCCTTGGGGGGCGGGGGAGAGTGTAGAATGGAGGAGGTGGGGAAGGGGGCGGGAGGTGTATGTAGGAGGAGGTGGGGAGGGGGGGTGTAGGAAAGGAGGTGGGAAGGAGATAAAAGCTAAATCACTCATTTCTAAAATTAGTAAGTATATCAGGGGCGGATCCAGAGATATTTTCCGACAGTCTTCCAAATAATGTTTGTTGATCCATCCTCCATTTTGACCGTCTTCCAACAGAAAACATACCTGTTAATGTCAACTTAAAAATCTGACCGTCGGAAGACCCAGATGACTGTCTAAATCCACCTCGTATATCCTACCCATGGGGAGAAATACAGGTCCAATCACTCCATATTATATATGTACTGATTATTAACTCTATGCAATCTTTATAGGCTAACAGAAACGGCAAACACATACTGACAACAGGGGATATTTTCCAGTAAATAAAATCCACGTTGTTATTAACCCCTCTAAATAATAACACCCCTCACTAGTGTTGATGTACCAAACTCTCTAGAGTAGCACATGGGGTTATTAGGATGCAACATCACTTGGCTTTTAATCAAGCAGGGAGTAAGGGAGGCACTGATTCGAATGACGTTTGACATTTAATTGAAAATTTTAAACTGGAAAGTTTACCCTTGGTTAAGATGATACTTTATGAAAGACTCACTGACTGCAGTGTGCTACTCACACACTTTTATGTAAAAAATTTGGCCAACTTTAATACAATAATTGGCGTCTACCTCATGTCTGATAAAAATGAAACTGCTCAGAATTCAATCATTGCTAGAAATCAAAGACGCTAACATGAAAAATCTTTCATTATTGTTATACTGATTTTACATCATTTTGCTATTGATTTATACCAGATTTCACACTGACAACCAGTGCATGTGCAAAGAATAACGATGCTCTTTTCATAAGCTCCGTGGAAATATCCAGATCAGGTGGACCAGAAATTGTGTTAGATGTGATGAGAACATTCTGTCTCAACCAATGCAATGGGGGTCTAAAATTGTGCAAACTACAACTAAAAGAACTGGAAAAGGAACATTTATTATAACTTGGCCCCTCGAACAAAGTGCTATTGTCTGTTTTTTTTTCTCTCAGTGGTCACCATATCTTATCTAGTAATGTCCCGTATATTTGTGGACCAATCATTCTCGTTTGATAATGACAGTATCCTGCAAGTCGTGATCCTTTCACAGTTGTTGACATTTTGCTTTTTATTTATTTATTTTCTTAGTTTTTGTTTTGATTTTTTCTCTTTTTTTTTCTCTTTTCTAAGTTGGTCCTGATGTTTCCACTTACCTGTGTGGCTAAACTCTTCATGTAAGGCTCAAGGTCATGAAACAGATCAAACCCTTGGTGGAAGTAGGCATTCTGGGCATGCATATAAGACAGCATCTGGAGTACAGTAAAGTGGAACAATTATTTAATTTTCAAATTACAATTCTATCAAATTTTCAATGTAGATTTCTCTATGCAGTGCTCTTTATTCATCAGAATATCATGTGAAGATTTTAGTCATTTAATATGACAGAATGATGTGCTGGAAGTGATAGAAAACTGCCAAGTACGAGGAATATTTATCACCTGTATATTTCATAAACCAAAACTCAATACACTCACGCTATAGATGGAGAATTAATTGGAAATGACACAATATTTAAACTACTGGAATACACTGTAACTCATAAAACGTGATCTAATATCACTCACTGTGTGAAGGACATCATTTCTTTTCTTGGAATGAAGAATATTGATCTGGAAAAAAAAAGAGAGAAAATAGGAGTTCAAATTGGGTGAATGCAATAAATGTGCATACAGGCTATTAGCAGTCCCTTCATGTGTGTACATAGGCATGACAAGATAACAATCAACTACTACGCAGCATCTATATCAATCACGCAACACACAAGATTGCTCATTTTCATAAACTGGTTTACAGTATTTTAAAGCAGCACACGAAAGTTAATCACCCACTAGATGCTTGAGGAGGCGCGTCCTTGAGTTAATCTGATTGCATTAAGCAAGAGTCTCCCATGGAGTTGGACCAATCTACCTAGTACAATACTTTTTTTGGGAATGCACTCTAGAAGTCGCTAATCAACCTGCAGCCCTAAGGGCCAACATTTTTCTTGCCTACTATGGAATTGTGGTTCCAAAATCAGTTTTTTTTTCTAGTTCATCAGATCTCCACTTTACTTAATTTGTTCTAAATGAAAGATAAAATACCTGGCAACCTCTTATAACATTTTTTTCTTCTTTATTAACTTTCTTTTTAAGGTCAATCATATATCAAATATAGTTTTGAGACAGCCCCTCACTCTTTGCACTGCCCTGACCCACTCCTCTAAGGATTCATCATTCCACAGACAGCTTTCTTCACCTACCTGGAAGACATAGTCAAGTGAAGTGTGAGCAAAACACGACTTCATGGCCGTCAGAACATTGTACGCCTCCTCGCACTCTGCTGGTTTATTCTTCGATGCTTGCGCACTCTTAACGTAAGCATTATCTGTGTCGAAGCTGATTTTCTCAAAGTGCTTTCTGCTTTCTTTGACTCTTTTGATGTCCCTGAAAAAAATTTTAAAATGTCAAATATGTACTTTTTTTACAATTATTAAACTAGAATGTACTTGTTTGACTGATTACATAGTTCTAATGCATTCTATCATATGTCACATGGAGAGGGATGATTGCAATCAAGCAGTTGCTTCCTGAAATTAGGCCTAAAACTGTTTTTTTTTTTTTAATTTTCTTTTTTTTTTTTTTTTTTAAGTTTACTAATCAAAATGCTGGCTGAAACTCAAGTTTTCCACTTAGAGACATGGAAATGACCAGATAAATGGAGCTATTGATTCCCTTCAATCTACTGTACACATCAGTTGTCATAACAAAATGAGTCTGGAAGTCTGTGATTTGCTCTCAAAACGTCAATATTCTGCACTTAGGCAGACAAATCAGGTTAATATTTCCAGAAATCACATTCTACGGTTCAGTGCCTCTTACATGGATCTTCCAGAACTAGGTCTACCCAGAAAATGAAGAGGGACCTACTTCACTAACCAACTTCAGCCCCATAAAACTAGAAATCATCAAAGATAACCTAATACAAGGCTCTAACTGCTGCATGACTTTATACAAGACTAGAAACATGTGACAATCCGCTTCAGGTGGGGCTATCAATTTGACAACAATCATTGAACGCTAAACAACAGGGATTTCATCCTAAAAAGCAATACAAAAATAACAATATAATTAAATATTTTGAATATGTCTTGGATGCTGTTGTGTAAAAAAATTGTGTTATTCTACAGAACATTTGAGAGAGAGAAAAAAAATATGTTACACCACATTCAGCAGTCTGACATAACTTCTGACCGCCTTCTCTTTCAAATCTCAAGAAATCTCACTTGATTTCACAATAAGTCACAAGACTGTTTTTTTCTCAGATCATTCCCATTGGACTTAATTTCCCAACCAAAATTTCAGTCTTCTCTATCCCTCCAGTTCATTCATTCTAAGAAATCATAATTTTTTTAGTGCACAGGGTAACTTTAAAGGCAATCAAAACAAGCCCACAGGAGATCAGTGGGTCAAATTACCGCGGATTAGGCTGGGGCTATGTACTTACGTCTTGATAAATGTGCTCACATTCTTACAAATGGATCGATGAGCTTGGTCCAGGAGGATCTGGAAGTACAGAGGAATCATAAGGTCAAAATCATTGATTACTTTCCTAACAGTTGCTATCTATGAAAAATAAAAAAAGAAACAGCCTCTAAAGAGACTTAACACGTTTTTTAACTTAGGGCACATTCTGAACAAGTTGATCCCTAGATTAACATATTTGTGGATCAAATATGGCTGACCTACTACAAAGCGTGCCGCATAATCCCCTAACAGACACTGAATAGATTCCCTCAGAGGATTACATGGTAAGCTTTCAAGTGGATCGGTCATGTTTGATCCGCGGGTCTATATGTCTGCAGATCCACTTAGAGGCATGAATTTTTGGCCCTTCATTAAACGGCCTCAGCCACATGGCTGATCCACCTAAGGGTGTTATGTGTTTGGACCTTGACATGACAAAGGCCTGCAAACTCCCCCCCCCCCCCACGCTCCTCATGCCCCCATCTGTGATGATGACATCAGGACCCCCTTGCTTAACCATGATTTTAAAAGATAATATATATTTAAAAAAAAAAAAAAACAATTCACTTTGTATGAGTTTCGGGAAGATGTAATTTCTAAGACTTTTTTGAAACTTATTCAAAAGAAAAGAACTCTTAAATTCTGCAAATCTATAAATAACTTATATTTACTGTAAAAGAGAAAATAGGCCAAGATAAATAAGGATGTTAGGATCACTAAAAATGGCTTTTAAATGAGATTGTACAAATGTTTTCATTAGTGTATAGTATTATCTTCCTTAGTATTATCTTTTTTTTTTTTTTTAGATTCTACTAACTCACAGTGCTGTATTTCTGGAGCTCTTCCATGGCCCTAACAAATTTCCCCAGGGTTTCCTAAACAAGAAAATATAATCAATATGGCATTATTATATATTTCACTGTTGTCAGGTACATGTATCATATCAAAGCTATTATAGTGTACTAGTACATATCATTTTTATGCCCAGATCTCTCAGAGAAAAAGACCTTGGTCTTCCAACTTCATTAATTCACTTTGTAAAGAAATAACAGACCCTGTTTAAGTGGTCTCAAATTTTCTCCAAATCATACCAAAATTTCATTTTCTCACTTACATCTTTGACAAAAAATACGTAACACGTAATCTAAGCAGAGAATCAAAAAAAGTACCACATTCATTTTTTTAAATCTATAGACAAAATGGCATCAATCTTGTCACAGAGCATGGTAAACAAGGCANTAGGTGTTTAACAAGACTTTAGCATTCTCAAAAGCTGTCCAGTTATAAAATTAAAATGCATGCTGTGTGCATATACACAATCTTAATTTCACAGTAATTTCAAAATGCACAAAATTGCAATCAAATATGATTCTATTGCAATAGTTTAAAAAGGCACGTGCACACGTGCATGTGTGTGTGTGTGTGTGTGTGTGTGTGTTTTACACCTAAACACAATCTTATATGGTACAGAGATAGTGTAACAACTGAGTCTTTGTGAAAGAAAAATATCTATCTACTTAAAATATGTATTAACCATTAGTCAAGCTATTTGCTGAGCTTATTATCAATCTATTAACTACAGAAAATATCATTATATACCTATTTTGCTAAAGCTTACTAACTCTGACCCCTTATGTAACTTTTAAGTTAAAACATACGTCAGCACATATAGCATAATACTACTGCAGCAGAACTCTTTAGTAACAACACATTTCCCCCAATTAGCTGTAGAAATCTAGTGAGCTATGTATAGCTCATTAATAAATCTAATATTGAATATCATATCAGAGGTTTTATACTCACTAATAATGTACTATGAAGTGTAGAAAAAATAATTTTTGAATGATAATTCATCCCTTCAGCAGATAAAGTTTTTGTCGACTTTCATCCACCCCTTCTCCCTCCCCCTTGCAGACCCATTCTTACCCATTCTTCCTCCTGTGCAATTATTTTTTAGATAATTTTTTTCTTTTTTTTTGCATTAGACTAAATCACCCTAGGTATAATTTTACAGCACTGGAATTTATGTTAAAAAAAAAAAAAGAAAAGAAAAAAGGGCGAGAATGAAGGAATGTGAGTTACAAAAATGATTAAAGCACCCTGTCCAGGTAACCAAGGAAAGGCAACAGTGCTTGTTAATGATGGATGGGTCATCCTCAGTGGTAAGGATCTTGATGACTGAGTGGAAAACTTTGAAGACTAGACACTGAGCCAACAGTATTGGATAAAACTGTGCCAAATAATTCAAATTTAAGTAAGAAATAAAGGAAAATATAAGAATAATTTATAAAAAAACTTCTACCGGTTTATAATTGATTAAGCATCAAATAGAATTTTTTCACTACCATTGGTGTGAAAAAATGTAGAGATTATAAAGTGAGCTTACAATTACATATTTTTTACTTTCGTTTTGTTCTTTTCTTCTCACTTGTTAATTTCACCCCCACCCCCACCCTGCATTTTTACCCTGATTTTCACCCTGATTTTCTTATTCCCAACGTCAACTTAATCAGAACTCATTCCATCCCCTACCCATTACCAACCTTCCATGACTACAACAGCCAAAAAGTTTTAAAAGTTCTAGCCAAATAAATTTCTGAGGCAATTCTGCCAGTATGATAAAACTATCTGATGGAAAATATAAATTATTTTCATTTGCTTCAGTCAAAGTGAATCATTTCTAGTATTTGGCAAAACTCCAAATCGCATCATGCCAGCTTTAGGATGAAGATTCCCAGTAAAAAATGCACTGCCACATTATTACCTATAGCCAGGTTCAGAAAATGTGCAGGAAGCAGTCACTTAAGAAAACTCACACTTTTCAACCTACATTCACATTTTGCACAAAGTCACAATAAAGAAGTGCTCTACTAAAATGACTGAAATTATGCTTAAATAAATAAATAAAAATTAAAAAAAAAAAGCTCTGAAATCTTCCTCAATCTTCTTTCAGGCTAAAAATTGCTTTGTTTCAAAGTATGCAACTTCAAGGAAAAATGGACAATTGCAATTGCTGCTCTTACAACTATTATGATTCACTAAACAGACTGAAAACTTCAGCAAATCTCAATTCACAACTTAATAGTCAAATTCAAAAGAAAATAAAACACATTGCACCCAACAACACAGACCTAGGATTAACTTTATATCACAATTCTCACTGGTTGATCAAAGATAAAAATGATTCTTCATTTTTACTAATGAACTGCCATTCCTCTTCATTTTATCAAATAACGCCCCAAAAAGCAGTACACCATTCTCTCCACCTGCGTCAACAGCTATACTTGTGAGATAAAAATCCACGACTTTTTCACCGCATCGCTGCACTCAACTTGGCACGGCTGAGTGGTGTAATTTGCACCCTGAGTAACGGAAGTTACTGTAGTTAATGCACATATGATGATGACGGGGTTGGATTTCTAGTACTATAGTAACCAATGAAACTGAGGGTGTCCTTAAATTAAATGATATAAAAAATATGCTGATTTTAAAGGTGAGTTTCCATTAACCTTTGAAACTCAGGGTGTCTTTTTCGGCAGTACAGCCCCTGTGTGTAGACTCCATACCTTGCATACACAGGAGTACGGCTATATGATTGATCTGATCACCGCAATTAACATCACAGGTGAGTCCTGTGTAGATAAAGGTCAGGACGACCAGGTGAATTACCTTGAGGTTTGGAAGAGTAGTGGAGTAATGTGTTTGAGAGAGAGAGAGTGTGTGTGAGTGTGTG